ATGAATTCCTAGAAGGATGCTCTCTCTCTCTCTCTGTCTGTGGTTGTAACATAAACAGGAACAAATGTTTAAAACTTGATGAATTTTGTAGGAACTAAAGTTCAAGACCATTGGGTAAGTCATTATTAAAAGCAATTATTTTTGTTTACCTCAATGGTTAGCGTTCAGGACTATCTGCGATTCCATTACCCTTTCTTTCCCCTCCCCTCAAAAAAAATCGCTTCCCGGACTTTAGAGCCTTGGGTGCATTATAAAAGTGACGTCAAAATCTCACTGTTTAGTCTTACAAAAGTAGCCCAAGAGCTAGTGGTGTTGACTAGCTGCCTTCTGTCTAGTTGATCACTTCAAAATTGGTCCGGCAGGGCCAGGTGGTTAGGGCACTCGACTCGCAATCTGAGGGTCGCGGGTTCAAATCCAGTCACACCAACCATGCTCACCCTTTCAGCCGTGGAGGCGTTATAATGTGACGGTCAATCCCACTATTCGTTGGCAAAAGAGTAGCCCAAGAGTTGGCGGTGGGTGGTGATGACTAGCTACCTTCCCTCTAGTCTTACACTGCTAGATTAGTGACGGCTAGCGCAGATAGCCCTCGTGTAGCTTTGCGCGAAATTAAAAAAACAAACAAACAATCTTTGTTTCGTGTTGTTTTTTGTAATTGCACTGAAGTGAGAAGAAAAATAAAAAGGCAAACTGCCGGTCCTTTTTTTAAAACAAAACACACCCCAATAGCTCAGCAGTAAGCTTGAGAGCTTCTAACGCTAAAATTTGTGTTTTAACAACAAATAGCCTTTTGAAATTAATAAAAACGTTTAACAATACGAACAGCAGACATGATAAAAATGTTTAACAATACGAACAACAGACATGATAAAAATGTTTAACAATACGAACAACAGACATGATTGTTTTTTTATTTGTGAACTGTACACCTAGATCGAACAAATTACAGAGATGACTATTTAACAAATGTTACATCGGAATGGGTCTATAGACCCATGCAATAAAATGTGATCATCTGTGTATGATTTCAAAGCACTTCATGCTTCAAAATCACAAATATTTATTTGTTGGTTTAGAACTCTCCGGACATTTAAATATTTTAATTTCTTGTTTACAGGAAATAAGTAGCGTACAGATTTTGTTTTTTGTTTATATATCACATGACTTAGCTATTCAAGGTGAATTACGATTTAAAAAAGTAAACCTAACAAACAATTCTTTTTTGTGTGTGTGTATTTTGTAGAGAAATTTACAACATTTTTAATTTCTTGTACTGAAAAGTGTGATTATTTTGAGGTAGATACAAATCGAAATTATGCTATGAGAATTTTTAACTTTATGTGCCATAATTGTAGGTTTGTCCTTTCTTGATTATCATTCTTCAGCCCACTTGGTGCTCGGGTTGAAAATTCCAATTTCAGTACAGAACTTCATTTAATATGATCACAACGTAAGGTTCATCCCATAACTGTCACAACTTTTTACTTAACGAACAACTCAAATTTTCTCTCTAGATGTATAAAACAGAGTTGTCCATCTATCTGCTTGTCCGTCAGTCTGGTGTCAAAAACTGTGAGAACCTGGCTCAACCAATTTCGTAGTAAAAGAACTCAGGAGGATTCCCCAAATATAGGGATTAAAGTCAGTGGACGATCGGTTCGATTTTGACACTCATATCAAACTTACCGTATTAATGCCCCAAGTGAAGGCTTAACTGAGCGAGAAGATCGGTAGTCAAATGCATGAAGTCGACGCCAAACAAATGTGACTTTTAATAACACGCGTAGCACGGGTACCTTTTGCATCAGACGAACGCATCCGCTTATAGCATTATATTTGTACGATTATCTAGATATAGTGAATAAAAACGTAATAAATATAAATTTTCTAAATGCATTACTGATCAATGTAAGCTGTAAGACATCCTGTTATCTTTCTCTCTTTTATTTATATATATCAAACATAGCGCTTTTACGTAATACAAAGGAGACCAGAGACCTTACGTCTTACAGCTGTATTACATTATTACTTATTCTATTTTGTTTATTTTTTTAACTTACCGGTGGGTCAGCGGTAAGTTTGATGACTTATAATGCTACAATCCGGGGTCCGATTCCCCTCGATCGACAGAGCGCAGATATCCCAGTGTGTTATTAATAGCTGTGGAACTAAAGACAAATAAGCAAACAATGGCACGTTTTGAATATATAATTACTTTTCGGTTACAAAAAGAGTCTTAGCTTTCATATTACTCAAACCCATAGGACCAACACAGCGTTGTTCCTGATACTCCAGAGAGTAAGTAAATGTACTCAAAAATAGAAACTTAGCTTTATCTAAAAGATAATTATTCTTCACAATTAATTCACCATTCACAAGGAAATCAGATGGCACTTATAGTTACGACATTAAATTGCAAAAGTAACATAATTTGTGAGGGAGGATCGACCAAAAATTTCAGTAACCAATCAGATGGCAGCTTCTAGAAGACATCAGGCAGAGGGTCTATTTAGAACGTCTTCGTTGTCAGCGTAACAATCATCATCAACATCCGCACTCTCGCAACAGCCTCGAGGGAGAAAAGCCTGAAGGTGGCGCGTGCGCCACGTGCTTCCTAAAGTTGATTCAGTAGTGGTTCATTCAGAAAACTTAGTAGATTGTGTGCCTGCCCCCTCAGTCATCTGGCACGTTGCCTTCTGTAGGCGCGTGCAATGATTGGCGCGTGACAGAGTCATTCTTCATTGGCAGCAACACACATTACAGCCGACGTCCTATATAGGAGCGACAGGTAGGAGCCAATGAAAACAGGTGATCCCGGCAGACAGTCGAGTTGTTTCATCTTGGACAGGTGAGACTACACGCACCACTCAGCTAGAAGCAATCACTTTTTACAGGTTAGTTGAACGGGACCGTCCGACCTATGTCTAGTGGCACGGCGCTTTTTACTTCGGTCCCTTTGCTTCCTAGGCGTCCTACTTCCATGGCCTCAGAGATGGCGGATTTTCAAGATGTGAGTAAGAATTTTATGTCCCCAAGTAACAATGATCGGCCTTAGCAATTAACATCTTAGATGTTCTTTCAAACACCTGCCTTAATGAATTTCGTTGTAAATTAATGTTGATATTTACTACCATTGTAGTCATAAAAAATTTGTATACTGTACATTTTTTTTCATTGAAAACAAAGGTATGTACGATTAAAGCGCCACCTCATAGAACTTCACAAAGTAAAATTCAAAGTCCATTCAGAATTAACGTTCTTGAAGCGTAGAAACCTTGTACGCATTTTTATTTTACTTTTTTTAACCTAAATTTATATTTATGTAAGAAGTTTGTCAGGTGGAACACGTTGCTAGGAAACGAAGCTTCTATGACTTTGTTTAGTAAGACTGGGAAACGATGTTTAAGCGCTTGGCGTCGATAATACTTGCTTTTACTGTAAAAGTTCATTGTGTGTGTGAGAGAGAAGCAAACACTGAGACGTCTGCAACTATTTCAATTTGTAGTTCTATTACATACTCCTTTTTTTAAGAGCACGTGTGATAACCAACAAGTGTCCCATAAAGGCTTGGGAGAAATCTTTCTTCATTTTTGTAAATCTTATAACACAGGTGTTATACACTTGGAGTTTCAGTAAAACACTCACTCACATTTTTGTCTGATGAAGTGATGTTTCTAAGTTATTCTGTCTGTTTCCATGGGTCTCCCGGTGGGACAATGCTAAAATCCAAGGTTCGATTCCCAGCTGTAGACAGAACAGATAACTCCAATGTGGCTTTTCTCTTAAACAGACGAAATTTTTCCATTCTGAAGGTAGCAGCTAATGTAAATATTTGTTAAACTAAAACATACAGTTAAAGTGTTAATTTTTCTTTACTCTGGATCGCGCGCCGACTAAAACTATTAATAAGATAAAATAAAGTTTAAATCCACAATAACGGAGCAACATCAAGCTTATATGAATCAAAGTTTCGACTCTTTCACGTGTCCCCTTCAGTCCAACGTTTGTTTGAGCTCTTGAAAATATTTTTAATATATTTTTGTTGGGCTGAAGAGGACACGTGATAGTGTCAAAGCTTTTATCCGTATATATATGGTGTTGTTCCATTATTGCGGATTTAAACTTTATTTTAAATTACTTTACAAGGTATTATGTATTTATTTACTGTTGAAACGAGTTTTCAATCTGGGTATTAAATTAAATGTTTATCGTGTTGGTAATTTAACATTTGAAACCTGTTACCCTATATTTGAGTTTTTGTCAAAGTTTTGGAAACAGTTTCACGGGATTCCATTGAAACCAAACAAGTTTGGTTTAGGTGTTTATTTCAGTACTCAGACATTTTTGTTTTACTCAAGGTTAAAAAGTTGATGCATTTTTACCGTAGGTTTAGGTGTTTATTTCAGTAGTCAGACATTTTAGTTTTACTCAAGGTGAAAAAGCTGATGCATTTTTACCGTAGGTTTAGGTGTTTATTTCAGTAATCAGACATTTTAGTTTTACTCAAGGTTAAAAAGTTGATGCATTTTTACCGTAGGTTTAGGTGTTTATTTCAGTTGTCAGACATTTTGGTTTTACTCAAGGTTAAAAAGTTGATGCACTTTTACAGTAGGTTTAGGTGTTTTTTACGCCGTTTAACCCTGAGTTCAGTCGTACGCAGACGTTTCGTTTAAGAAATGGCAGGTGAATAAATTGGTAGAATCGTATTCTGTTTGTTTTCTAATCAGTCATAATCTTTGAAACAAGTTCTACAGCCCTATAATTATATTAGTTATGTTGTTTTATGCAGAATATATTGTATTTATTGTTCTAACCCTACTGACCTATCTGTCTTTAAGATGGATTACAATTCAAGAAATTCGATAAGATAATGTGTTATTAGAACATTCTTGATTTACAATTAAAGTGTTTTATTATTATTCCTTTTTTTTGCAGTCTCTCGCAGGCTAAGAAACTATCATTTACATCACACAGCTTTTCAGTTAAAACATTTGGGGGGGGGGAGAGGAAAGGGGTCAGATTTAGTCGTAAATCATTACTTTGTGTAAAACTCGTTTTAACGGTAATGTATCCCTGTGTCTTAGTGGTAAACTTTAAAGCTTATAACGCTATAATCCGGGTGTCGATTCCTTTGGTGGATACGGTGCAGATAACCCATTGTGTTCGCTGACTTGCGTTTACTTTAGACGTGTGTTACGTGTGTTAGAATTTAATATTTACGCAATTTGTGTGCAATATTTCAAGCTTCAGCGCTTCACTAAATTATAGGGAACTAAGTAAGAAGGGAAACTAATGTTTCTTATATATTCGAGCCTAACACCTTCATCAGAAACAAAGGGTGCAAATTTATATAGAACCAACTTATAAACCATAACTAGTTTACCACGAAACTAAGATCTTTTCTTGTTACTCAGCCGCTTAGTTTTAATATATACAGTGTATATATATAGTCTTGGACGTCTAGCTTTGGTATATAGCCTTAACCGTTTGCTTTTAATTCACAATTTTAACTGTTTTAACTGTTAATATGTACTCTCAAACTTTTGGTTTTAATATATAGTTTACTTGTAGTACATATATAGTCGTTTAGCTTTAATATATAGCCTTAACCCTTTAGTGTTAATATATATTCTCAACCTTTTAGTTTTAATATATAGTTTACTTGTAATACACATATAGTCGTTTAGCTTTAATATATAGCCTTAATCCTTTAGTGTTAATATATATTCTCAACCTTTTAGTTTTAATATATAGTTTACTTGTAATACACATATAGTCGTTTAGCTTTAATATATAGCCTTAACCCTTTAGTGTTAATATATATTCTCAACCTTTTAGTTTTAATATATAGTTTACTTGTAGTACATATATAGTCGTTTAGCTTTAATATATAGCCTTAACCCTTTAGTGTTAATATATATTCTCAACCTTTTAGTTTTAATATATAGTTTACTTGTAGTACATATATAGTCGTTTAGCTTTAATATATAGCCTTAATCCTTTAGTGTTAATATATATTCTCAACCTTTTAGTTTTAATGTACAGTGTTAAACGTTCAGTTTTAATAAGGATGTGTGAATTTTTCTGGAAGTCATATAGCAAAATGAAACTAACGACGAATATATTGTAATACAAATCAGCTTAGTTCAAGAGATAGTAGTTTACTACGCCCTTTCCCGCCAACGTAACTGATGCTTGTAATCACAAGTAACCCGTTTCTCTTTAGAGTTCTGGATGTCTGTCGAAGATAAGTTATCTTGAAATGGAAAATGAGTTATTCGGGTGTAAATATCCCTCTCATGTCCCTGTATGTCACACATACAGGGACATGGGAACTTCCTTTTGTCAAGGAAAGAGACATTCAACGAACCTGAAATTGTCCAACATCATTTAAATATTTTATTGAGCAAACTATATGATACATATTTGTTTTATTTTTCGTGGAAAATTATGACAAATACAAATTTAAAGTATCTAAATGAAAATTTTTGTTACTTTGGTCTAATAGGTTTGTTTGTTGAATTTTGTGTAAAGCTATTCGAGGGCTATTTGCACTAGCCGTCTTTAATTTAAATGATTTAATTTTTAATGATTGGCTGTAGGGAAGTCAACTAGTCTACACCATGCATCGCCAACTCTCTAGCTACTCTAACTGAATAGTGGGATTGACCTTCACTTATAATGCCCCCATGGCGGAAAGGGCGAGCTATCATGTTCAATGAAGAGATTCGAACTTGAGACCCGCAGCTTGCAAGTCGATTACTTTAACCACCAGGTCATGCCAGGCCGGTCCAGTAGAAATTATTATAATTGAAGATGGTCGTTGCTGGCCCTGCTTGCTCCTTCTACACAGACGTAAGGGGGAACAATCGCTTCCCTGGTTCCTGCACACACACACACAGCAACACACATATACGCATGTGTTCATATATAAAACTTCATGCGTTTATATTTGCCTCAACACAATTAAAGTTTCACTAGTTTTACACTATTCTTAACCAGTTGATTAAGGGACGTATGCATTCTTAAAATAAAAAGTAAAACGCGCAAAAATCTAGCATTGTTTGTTTGTTTTTTTTGCTATATTTTAACCCCACAATTTAGCTTTAGTGATCATATCGAGCTAGCAATCCTTAACTATATTGCTTTAAAACTTCCTCTAACCGGGAATCCTCCCCTGGGGGAGTAAAATCATCAGCTGACTAGTGTCCCCCCCGAGCGAGCGAGGGTGAAGCCATCTTAAGACTACAATATCCCCTTTGAAGGACTAGTTCCCATTTAAACGAGTAAAAACGTGTTTGAGAACTAATTTACTAAAGATCTGGCGAGACAGATATCTCTACTTTGTATATGCGTATGTGGCAAATTACTGGATTTAACTTTTGTGCGAAAGTTTATTAAAATATAAAGTTCTTTTAATTATAGTACGCGCATCATAACATTACAATCCTATTCAGTTAATATTTGCTTTTGTTTGTTTTGGAATTTCGCGCAAAACTACTCGAGGGTTGTCTGCGATAGACGCCCCTAATTTACCAGTGATAGACTAGAGAGAAGGCAAATGGTCAACAATACCAACCAGCAACGCTTGGACTACTCTTTTACCAACGAACAATGGGATTGACTTTCACATAATATAGGCCTTCAAGGCTAAAAAGGCGAGATTGTTCGGTGGTGGGATTCGAGCCTGCAATCCGCAGATTGTGAGAACCAGGGATATTCGTAACGTTCGTCATATACAGAATTTTATGAAGTTTTTTTTACTTCTCGTTATCTTGTAGATATTTAGAATACTAGTTTTAAGTTAGTCAACAAATAAAAACGTTTTGTGAGGGAAATTCTTTGAAGTCTGGTGGAACCCATAACTTTCTTTCACATATCTCCAAAGTTATCAGTCACGGCAAGTTGAGTTTAGAAAACATGGACGTATTTCGCAGAGCGTGACACTGTTTTTTTGAATCTAATATTTAATTTTCATTACGCGGTTTCTCACTTTACACAGTTTGTAGG